AAATAGAGGAGTTTTTCAACAATGATTTTGCCAGCTTCAAGTGGTACATTGTGTCATGTATGTTAACTTGTAATATGCTCTCTGTCAAAGCTAGATTACAAATAAAAAATAAAAATAAAAAGAATTTTGATAATACATCATACTTTTACATGCCTCTCCCCCCGTACTCTAAATGACCATGGTCTTTAACTAATTTGGCACTGGACTCAAGTAATAAGTGTATGTAACATATCCCTCTGTAAACGTACTGTAGGCTGTGCACATCTCCCAGATAAATTTTCCACAGTTATTAGGACAGAAGTGGATAGAGCAGCTGCAAAAATTAGCTGTAACGCACATTGATTGTTTGATTGTCATTCCTGCATTGCATGTCCTATCTAAGATGCGCAATAAGGTGTTCACCCATTTGCAAATTACCTATGACAATATTTAACATACTGCATGGAAGGGAAGAGTGTACCCATTCAACACCTTTTCCACAAAGCTTACACTGAGCCAAGTTTAAATAACGGGCACCATTTACTCTGCTTTCAAAAATATCTTCCAACTAATGAGTGAGACTGGAGCACAACTAACCTCTTCCAACTAGAACCGGCAATATTTACCAAAACGAGAAAATTTTACCTTCGGGTAGAGACTGGCACTAGGGACTTTCTGAAAACGACACTGGCCACCCTAAAATTCTGATTAGAATACTATGATAAATTTGGGTAGGAATTATCGGTATTGAGCAGAAGACGCCAATTTTCACTGTTTCCGGGAGCACGCCACTTGCTTCAGCCTGGCGTCGAATTGGCTGCCTACCCAACGGGCGCTCCGATGGCGAAAAAAAATATGTAATATCGCAATTTTCTCGGAAAGTATTTGAGCTACAGCGCCCCGACTTCGCCTGTAGATTACTCTAGTAAAACTAAACAGATCCCGAAGTGGGCGATCACCTCACGCATCGGGAAACCAGTTTTATATCGTTTCAAAGTAGGGTCGTAGTTCGAAATTTTTAGAACTTTGATTGCTCGAAAACTATTCATCCCTCAGCGACCTGGCTTTGCAAGGCAGTTTATATTCATGGGCCGAACATTCCCTGATAGTTCCTATCCCCTGGGGTAAAAAATTTAAAAAAGAAAAATACCCCCTCAAAAGTCAGAGCCAAACCTACGACACGGGGAGCCGAAACGACCAGCGATCCAGCACGCAACTTCCAGGGCCACCAGACCACACACGGCGAGCTAGAATAGCCCCCTTTCCGCCACACCGTGACACAAATTTTTACGTAAATCGGCTCTAACTCTTGTTCTATTGGAGACACAGCACTCCAATTTCGCCTGTACATTACTCTAGCAAATCGGAATAGGCCCTGCAATGGGTGACTAGCTAGCGCACCGAAAAAACCTGCGTTTGAACGACTCGAAGTAGGTCCGTAGGCAAATTTGTTAAAATCTTCAAATTCTCGAAAAACGGCTCTAACTCCGGACCTGTTAAAGCAACAGCGCCCCGATTTCGCCTGTAGATAACTTTAGTAAAAATGAAAAGACCATGCAATAGGCGATTAGCTAGCGCAGCGCACCGAGAAACCTGCACTGGAAATCCAACGGCCGGCGCCGTGGCTGGCGTGATGCTCAGCAGGAACTCGTCCGTCAGCGGCACGAAGGCGACGACCAGCATCCGGAGGGGGGGCAGCCTCTCCAGGGCGGGCCGCTCGCCCGAGGCCGCGGCCGCGAGCAGGTCCACGCCGAAGGCACGCGGCCCCGTCTCGGAGAACACCAGGTCGACGACGGTCAGCTTGTGGGCGCGGAGGAGGAAGTCGGCGGCGTCCCGGACGGCGGACTCACGCCGGAAGGGCCGCACGTGGATGGACGCGTCCCTCAGCGCGCCGCACCCGGCCACGGCGTGCAGGCCGGGCAGCAGGTCGCACACCAGGGTCGCGAGCACGGGCACGCCGGCCGCCAGCGCCTTGAGGTGTTGGTGTTCTAGTGCAAGTGGGCAAGAAAGCCTCCACATCGTTAAGTACCGTTGTCGGCGCTGCTACGCGCGCCGTGTAAGTTAGGCCACGCTTACACCAAAGAGACGTAACAGAAAACCGGAGAAGAGTGTTTACTACTTGTTCTGCTTGGGCGTCTTGGCGTCTTCCGGAAAATATACGTCCGTTTCCCTCGGATTCATTCGGTTCATCACGGGAGCTGAGCGCCTGGGAGACTTTGGGTGGGCCAGCCCGCGGTACACGCATGCGCGGCAGGCGAGGTGTTGCCTACCCATCAGGCGCGCCGGGGGCTCGCAATGGCTGAATGTGGCAGTTCCGTTACAGTGAAGAATGGCGGACGCACTTTCTGAACGGTCCTACCAGTATAAGAGTGACACAATTTAATTTAAGAATCAAGTGTGTACCTTTAGACCATTATTAATTTTGTGTTTCACATCTCCTTTTATTTTTATGGGTGCATGTGGGTGCATTGGTTGGGTAGAGGGAAATCATAAGATTGCAATCAGATAAAATAAAGGTATATTCAAAAAATCAAATCAGTCAAAATAACAACATTTCTAGACAGTTTATATATTAAGATACAATCACAAGCTAGTTACAATTAATGTTAACAAGTTGAAGTAAAGATACTGGCAACTTGAGTCAATATAAAAATAAAACAAGAAATACAGACGCGAGTATCATAAGTTTCAATTAAGTGTGCAATACCAAATGTCGACAACGCTTTGTATAGATAACGAGATGCAAGATTAAAATCACAGTAGATGCAAAAAAGCAAGTTCAGAATAATCAATAACAATAAAAAAATCATAAATTGAACCCTGGGTAGCTAAACAGATCCAAGGTGAAAATCACAGGAAAACATAAAAAGTAATTGCAAGTTCATAATAATTAAAACAGGAACATTTCTTTTTTGATACAAAAAGATGATAATAACAAATCTGTAGGACCTTAACGTGCTCCTCCCAACAGGAAAGGATACAAAATATTACAAATTACAAATTGTTCTTGGCAGTACGTTGAAATGGTGGAACAGTCCTCAGAGCTTCTTCGATGGCATTCATCCCATTATGATTAATGTGCAATCTGTCCTTGCGCCTCTTGGCACCATGGCCCATGAAACTGAACAAAAAAGAGAGACAGGAAAGAAAATTAGAAACGGTCGAAACTTATAATTTTACAGTCTGTGTTTTTTTCCTCTTTTTTAACCCCTTTAATCTGAACTGCTGCTTACCTCTCAAACAGATCCTCCTGCAATAGCCCATCCTTCATAAAGAACTCCTGCACATCAAGCACAAAGAACCTGGGTGAGCTGAGCTGCAGCAGCTCATCGTTGAAGGTGGTCCACAGGTGGCGATAATCCTCATCTCCTCCCTTCGGTGCAAGCAGCTTAGGCAGGGGAGGAACAGTGGTGACAACTGCCCGGGCAAATGACTTGCACTTCTTGGACAAAACCGTCCTCAGGGTGGATAGATTCTGCTTCACTTTCACCAGACCTGCTTCCTGTAGCAGAGAAAAAAAAATTAAATCATATTTT